TGCTGCAGGCATAAAAATGGCAGTGTCTACCTAGAGCAATCAAAATGCCTCAGGAAGATGAGATTTTTTAGAAGAGTAAGTGCAAAAGCATCACCAGGTGGGAGAAGCAGAGAAGGACTGAGAAGGTTTTCTCTCTGCACAGCCTGGGGCTGAGTGGAGCCCCAGGATGTGAAGCCACATTGCCCACCCAGGGGCTGTCACCACAGAAGCATGGCTGTGCCTTTTTGGAGCTTTTTCCCCCATCTCTTGAACTGGGATCCAGCTTGCAAAGGCCATGCCCAGCTGAAATAGCAATATCTCCCACACATTGTTTGTTTCCTGTTTCTGGAAGAAGAGTAAAAATAAAGGCAAGGAAGAGGCTGCAGCTGATATGATGCCCCTGCATGGGCACTGAGTGCTACCCTCCAGTTAAGCTCCTCAGCAAATTGCTCTGGCCTTCGGTAGAAGCCTTTGATCTCTGCCCTCTTAGTTTACAACTGCAACTCAAATGGGCAGGACAAACTCTTCCTGAACACCTAATTATGGCTCTTTCCATGTGATGCCATGTTTCATGATCAGATAATAACACAGGGAGTATCTGACCTAGCCTGTCCATTCTGTGCATAGATGTTGTGCCACCTCTCCCCAACACTCCAAATCAAGTAAAACCATGCTGAATTGCCTTAAATTTAATATAATCACTAATTCCCTGCTCCCAGACTATTTACTGTTGGCAAGGAGCAGAGCTGGCAGACCCTGGTGAACTGAACAAAAGCCATTAAAAGAGATTTATTCCAATTGTGGCAAATCTCAACCTCCTGGTATCTTGTTGGCACCTAGATGTGCCTCCTAGAAGCCCAAATCTGCAGCTCAGCTTATTAGATCCCTTTTTTTTCACCAAGATTTAACTCAAACAAGCCAAGAACTTGTTTCAGGGAAGGTCTGGGGAATTAACCTCCAATTGTTTATGTACATAAAGAGCCCTGGGATGTAACATGCTTTGCTTACTCCAAGCTTTCCCAGATGCCCAGAATGGGCAATTAAAACCAAACAACATACAAAAATATGGCAACATTTACTGTGTAGCCTGCGCCACTCTATCCACTCACCTCATCCTCAATAAAAACCCCATCCCTGCTTAGATACAGCCAAACATGAAATCCAAGGGAGCAAAACTCACTCAAAAAGCAGGACTGGAAGAGGTGGTACCATAGCTGGTCAAGCAGAGAGCCTGGCCAGCAGCACCATGGAGCCATGCCCACCTCTTGTCAGGGAAACACCCCTGCTTGGGCACATCTGTTCCATTTCTATGCAGTCAGGACTCAGGTTTTCCTTGGGCTCTTCCCTGTACCTGGCTTGAAGCCCCACCATATCCATTTGGCTGGACTGGGAACAGAATTGAACCACTGTCTACAGAGAATTTCTCTGTGCCTTCCCAGGGCTGAGCACCTAGTGGGAAAAAAAAAAATCTTCACCCATCCCTTTCAGGTGCTTCCTGAAGGCATCACCACACGCTGCCTCCTCCCGACAGCTGGGGGAGGGCCAGGCAGCCCATTTGCTGCATTAATACCTCTGCAGACTGACATGTTGGTTCCTGGTGCTGGCAAGACAACTCACAGATTGAAAGAAAAGAGCTGATGTCTCAGTCCTTGCCTCTCCTCACCTCTCCTGCCACATGAGCCTCCCTTCTGCCTGGTGATGCAGAGACATCACCAACTACAGCCTCCCATCCCAAAAGGGAGTAAAATGGTGAGTCCAACTGCCTAACCTGGAACTTGGACAGGGACTGAGGAGGGGGAAAAAGCTCACGTGGTATCCAAACCCAAGCCACAGTCAGAAGTTGGAGGGACATGCATTGCCTCACCACCCTTTGCATGGGCAGCACCCTGCCTGTGGCTGGCAGCAGGGATCCCCAGGGTGCCAGAGGCAAAAATCCCTTTGCACCCACATCATCTTTTGGATTAGTGATGCTGGGTGTGGCCCAGGGGAATAAAAACTGTCTCAGCTCAGAAGAGGAGGAAAAGTGAGGCAGGTCCTTCAGTCAGGAGTGAAGCAAAAAACCCAGGGAAATTCCCAAGGAACACATGGTGATAGTCTGGGGGTAGAAAACTACTCCTGTTTGGGAGAGGCAGGTTCCCATCTTTGGCTTGCCTTGCTTCCAAACCAGTGGATTTCAAAGCCCCAGTGCATGGCCGGATTTGTGTTATCTGCCTGTTGGATGCACACAGCTCTAAAGAGATGCATATTCTTAAAATCCATCCCAGGGATGGCTGCAGGGCCTGTTCAAAAAGTCCTGAACTTTATGAGCTCTCTGGAATAGAGACAATCCTACCAAAGCAGCAGCTATCTAAAATAGCTCTAGGGAAAAACTCCTGGATTTGACCACCATTTGAGATCAGTCCAAAAATCCTGTGGGTGCTGTGCACCTGGGTCCACATTTGGGTCCACACTAGGGTGGGAAGAGCCCTGGGGGCTGTGGCATTTTGTTCTTCAAGCAGCCACTTGCTCTGTCTTTCTCCCAGCATGGAGTAACACTCTGCTTCCATAAATCTAGATTTTTGTTGGAAAGAGAATAATGGGGGGCAGGGGGAGGAAGGTGGTGCTGGTGAAGAGATATAAAGCACAGCTGGGCGGATTAGGCTGCAAAGGAATTAGGGAATTAATGATGCTTTAGCAGCTTGAAATCTGCCAGTCCAGAGATGAAACTTTTAAGACGCTCTTGGCAAGCACCGGGAAAAGACAGCCTGTCGAGCCAATGCCACCTGCTGGAGACAGCACTCTGACACCAAGATTCATGGCACCAGTTAAATTCATGGTTTTTAGTCATCCTTGTACGCAAAATCCCTCTTCTAAAGCTTGAAAATGTGAGCCCATGCCTGGCAGGGCAGAGACCTCGGGAACCCATAAACACAGCCCCTCTGCCATCCCCTGGAATGTTTAGTTTCTCCCAGGTTCCCTGTCTCCTCTCTTCCACCTGCCTTATCTGTCAGGTAATTATCCTTCCAGAGGTAATTGCTTCAGGAACCATATGGGATCCATAAGCTGCTGACTCTGGGAGATTTTTTACAAAGAATCATAAGACCTGTACATTATTGCTTATATTAGAATGATTATCACTGGTGTAAAAGCAGCCAAAATTGCCAAAATAGGTTGCAGAAATGGTTACAGCAGCACAGACAAGGAGACAAAGTTATCCTCTCTGAAGTCTTAGGGGTTTTTAACTGGGAGGAAATCATATGTTCACAAGCTCAAATGAGAGTTACAGAATAAACCCAGACTTAAGGGGGTTTGGAGGGAAGAAGGGAAGTGAAGCTTCAGTGTGAAGATCACCCCTCTGGGATTTGGGAAGCAGCCGCTGACAATGAGGCAGATCCAGAGGGGCTCAGCACTTCCCTGCGTGTGTACATGGTGGTTATCTAATAAGCCATTTCTTAAGCTCCAGTGATACTGCTACTTATATCATAAATTCAATGACTTTCACTTTACTGGCCATTAATCTGCTTCTTTTCCTGACAATTTTATACTCTTTTGATAAACTGTTTGTCTAACCACACGGAAGAAACAATGTCAAGAGCTGTACCTTAGGCGTTCGCCCAGCTAATGAAGAAAATCCATCACAAGGAGAGTTTATCTATTGCTTTTCTGGATGTAAATAAAACATCAGGCTAATTTACTTCCATTAATCTCAAAGACTGTTGCTACAACAATAGTCCTATGTCAGAGCAGACTTTTTTTTCCCTTTTTCACATAAATATTTAAGTAAGTACTGAAAGCATAAATAAATTGTTTTCTAACAGCCAGATTATTTTTATATCCAGAGATTTAACAATGAATTTGGATTTATTTGCTAGCTTTTGCCTTTCAGGCAGCAGTCAGCCCATGCTGCCCCTGTGCAGAGTGGGGATGCTTGGGTGGGTTTAGCAGAGAACCCTGTGGGGTCTCTGAGCAGCACCTGTGACAACCCATCCTTAAGGGGAAGGAAGCTCAAGGGTGGGTCATCGCCTCACAGCTGAGTGCCACCCCACTGGTGTCACCCCTGGACACCGGGTGGGTTCAGTGAGTGCTGGGGCTGCTCTGCGAGGTCCACACGGGGCTGCAGAAAAGACTACTTAGTGTCCTGTGTCCAGCTCAAGTGTCCTGTGTCCAGCCTTGAATGCAGCAAATGGGCATTTAGTTTACGGAGGGTGAGGCCAGCAAAGCACTAGAGCAGGCTGCTGGGGATGCCTGGGGATCACCAGCTTTGGGGGGTTAAGATCAGGCTGAACAGGAGCAGTGACACGGTGCATGTTTGTATGCGTGAGTGCGTGCGCTTGGCAGGTTGGAGCCAATCTGGCCCCTACCCTCCAACCCCCAGCCCTATTTTCTGCCAGCTGAAAGGCTGGGCTCAGCCAGAGAGCTGCTAAACACAGATCATGTCACTCGGACCACTGCAGAAGGAAGCAGTTCCCTCCTGGTGGAGCTCTGCGGAGGTGCATACCACACTCCCAAATGCTGTTCTCGTTCTAAGGTGCCGAGGGTGAGCAGGAGGGTGCCGCAGGGATTCCCCCCAGTCAAGGAGCCCCTGTCTCTCTACTGCTTTTTCCCTTGCTTAGTTGTTGCTACTGCTTTCCATCCTGCAGCCAGCTTGGACCATCTTGTTTTGCAACCACACCCCAGCACAATCTGGGATGATGTGCAGTACAGTTTGGTAAAACAGCATCCCTGCTCAGATGAAATCTAGTTTGTCAAGCATGGCCCCACATGAATATTTATAACTATAATATATAGTAGTCATAAACATAAAAATAAGTTTGTCATAGGAAATACAATATGTTGATAGCTGGGACAAACCCAACCCAACACAACATGGTAAAGGCTGGCGCAAACAGTCCACAGGATTCCTCAGAACAGCCATGACCACAGTTCAGAGCCTGAGCTGGTTACATAGGCAAGCCCATGGAAAAATAGACTAATTAGAGAAGATTCATGATCAGTCTCAGCAAGATCTTGGCTTTTGCTTCTCTCATTTATCCATACATGAAACTCATGTTACAACTAAAGAAATGCAAAAAAGCCCCACTACCTTGTGCAATGTTAAGGTCAAGCAGATGCAACCAGAGGCAAGGTAAAAGCTGCTGGTCCAGCTCAGCAATGTCCACAGCTTTGGCCAATGTGCAGAGCCCCCACCTGTCTCTTGATTCTCGCTGAGAACATGGGAAGAAAACCTCATCTTTAATGAAATTTCTCACTTTAATGAGAAAAAGCAAGACTCTGACTGATGCTGTACATCATAGCCTATGCACTTGTTACATCACAGTTTTTCCCGGAGTATTTTTTGGATTTCTGCTACATTTAGTATCCTTTACTCTTACATAGCCATGCCTGGGTACGGCTTTTCATAGGACCCAGGATGAGTTATTTTGTTCTCTTTCAAGCTTACAAGCTAAGCTCACCTCCCAATAATAAATTCCCACAATTCAAGCTTTAGCAGGGTTTCCATGACCGTCATCCATCTCATGGCACAGCAAATGGGGTGATAATTCACGGGGTGGAGAGAGTGCTGGGGGAAAGGCTCTCCCTGGCTAATTGGAGGGCAGGACTCCAGGAACAAGATGATGGCACTTTGGATGCTGCTGTGCCTGTGATGCTGAGTGCTGATGCTTCCTGACAGCACTTGTGCTTGCTTGTTGATTCATGTCACCCACGTCTCACTTCATCCTCTCTTCAGCAAGAGGGAAAAGGGGAAAAAAGGTAATTGCCTGTGCTTATCTACATGGGTGTTAAAGCATTCCCTTGCAGGCTCTCAAACTGCCATAGTGCTGAGAAGGATGGAGCAGGGAAGGTATCCATAGCCAGCTTTTCCCCTCCCACTGCATTTTGGAGCTGTGTTCTCCAAAGCTATTGCAATGGGACAGCTGCACCATGGTGCAGCTGGCTACCCATGCCAACCTCACTGAGACTTTCCAAAGGCACAAGTGAATTGGAGTGCCTGAAGCATGGATGCTCTGCCTGTAACACTGGAGAAATGGAGGCCTTTAAAAAGCCTTCTGGTGTGAACCATAAACTCACAGGCCAAGAACTGACTGCTCCAGGCAAACACTGACCACATGCCTCAGCTGGGAAACACACTGCAGGGAATGATGAAGCCCATCCCTGCATCTTTTTTCCTCCTGTTCATTTTGGTTTTGAATTATGTCTCATCCCTGACACTTGAGGACTTGCCTAGCTGGGATGCTGCTGTGCTTCATCAGAGTGGGCTGCTGGGCAAGAGCCTGAGGGGTGACAGGAACAGGATGGGCTCTGCCGGAGGCGCCAGCGTGCTCAGAAAGCATTTTGCGCTCGACTGCCTTCTGCTAAAATAGCCTGGCATTTTTGTTAAAATGTATTTCTGCAAGCCTGGGGAAGAGTTACATGCAGTCATTCCCAAAGAGAGCAGCCAGGAGTGCTTTTCAGAAATGGGGTAGTTTTGCCTTTAATCCCCTGACAGTGAAGGGAAAGAGTGAACGAGAGATCAGAGTCTTCCAATCCGACACTGATAGCATTGGCAGCAGCCCAGGCCCACTGAGGCATGTGCATGGATCATGGCATGTGGCACACAGCACTGGCTCTAACTGGGGATGGTACCATGGGCTCCATGAGGGCAGCTGCTGCCCAGTGCTGCTGAGTCCCAAGGTCCTGCCTAGTCTCAGCTTCAGGCAGTGGCTCACACTCACTGCGAGGCACACATCACCTCTTCTGCAGGGGGAAAGGCAGAGCTCAGCTCCAGTGTCTTTGTTTAATCCACTTAGAAAGCTCCCCTCTGCTTTCCCCTTGCCCCTCTGTCTGGGATGTTTTGTAAATAGCGAAGGCAACATCAAAAAGCCCAGTACAAGACATTGAAGGGGTGCCAGTGACTTCTTCCACTGCTTCTTTAAGTCTTTCCAGGGTCCCTGACAGCTGTCCAATTGTCCAAGCCTCCGGTTTTCACAGTTGTTACGTGTGTGAGTAAAGGCACCCAACAAACCTCATGGATGTGCCCTTCCTTTGAAAATCCATGCTGAGACCGTAACTTGATGACTGCTGCCTTTCTCAGGCAGTTGTGGAGACATCTCCTCCCCATCTTTCCTACTCCCTGTGATTCCATCTGCTTCTCCAGATCATCCTACAAGATGAGGGGAAACACCTTGTGGAGAGCCAAGCACCAGGACAGAGCTTCCTAACGTCCATGCCGAGGGCATGAGGTACATCCATGGCTGCTGGGATGTGCAAGGCAGGCGTTGTGAGCCAGCCGGAGGTCGGTTCAGCGCAGTGAGTCCTCAAACACCGTCAGGTTGTGCTCTTGGATGTGGCGGAGCAGGATTTGTGCCCGCCTGTCAATGGTCCGGAGCAGGGGTCTCAGCCCCTCGGCGCCACCCTGGCTCTCCCAGAGCTCCTGGTCCAGGTGCAGGGACTCCAGCAGCAGGCTCTGCAACCTGCCCGACCGCAGCGTGGCCACCGCCGCCGCTGGGAAGCTGCAGCGGAGGAGCAGAAGAGACAGGGAGGGAAGGGGTTATCCAGGGAAGGCTGAGCAGAGAGAAAGGGAGCAGCGGGGCACTCGAGCAAAGATGCTTCAAGAGGAAATGCACGTCTACCCAGAGGAATGCAGGACCAAGAGCCTTCTGCTTAAAACTCTACCCGTGGTGAGTATGCAGGATAGCTCCATCAGACACAGACCCAAACAAGTTCCAAATCAAGAGGCCTCTAGCATGCCAAAATGCCTTGTGGGCAATGGCGCAAGAAATGCTGAAATACCTGATTATTCATTATTTTTGTGCAGCTGCCAATTAAAGAAGGGAAATAGGCTTTGGAGCCTGCCATCAGCTACCCAAAGCAGAATAAAGAGATAGTTTCAGGGCAGGGACACGTGGGATGTTTTTGTGAGCCTAGCCACCTACCCTGTCCTGGGTGGGAGATGGCCCTGATTCAGAGGGATGCCCCATCAGGGAGGCCAGGAGCAGCAAGAAAAGTGAGCACACATAGGGCTGCTGGACATCCCGTGTGCCAGCTCAGCCTTGCTCAGCACATGCACATTCCTACCTGTCTATGCCTTGCAGGAGCCTGAAGTTAAGCTTCTCCTCAGGGTGCTGTGGCCTGCCCGCATTGTCGATGAACACCAGGCGGGACGGTGCACTCCTCCGGACCTGCCAGCAGGATGGAAAGGAGAAATTTACTCAGTGCAGAGTCACCAGTGTGGGAGTTTAGGCTGCTTTTAATGCAGTGAGAAAGCCTGAGAGTATTTGGGGGAAAGCAGATGCCAATGTCTATGTCCCTCCATGCCCAGGCACACCTCCCACCAAGGACCCAGCATCACCATGGGACATTCCCTTTGCTACCACTTCAGTCTTGTAAGTGCCTCCCAGGCATCTTCATGTTAGCTCCAGAGCAGCCCTTGGACAGCAGGAAGACATACCAGGATGTGGACCAGGACCAGCTCTGCTGGATTCCGGCACTTCTCGTGGAGCATCTCCTCCACACAGGGCTCAGAGGGATCAGGCTGAAACCCACAGCAGTAGCGGTCCAGGCGGTCATGAACCTGCAGGAGGCATTTGGGAACCTTAGCAGGGACATGTGCCTGGGGTGGGGAGATGCTGATGTGAGCTGTTCTTGTACAGAGGAAAAAAAAACATTTCTAGGGATCCTCAGGAGACGTGCAATGGAAAAGCTGCATACACTGGTGAGTGAGAGGAATGGAAGCACACATGCAAAACCCCTTTGGCATTAAGAAGGTGATGACAAAGGTGATGGTGACAGGCTTTTCTGATGGAGTTCAGATACCTGGTACCTCCACATTCTGAATCTGCACAGAGTGAAGGGGTTGTGCTTCCAGCTGAAATGAAGGGAAGACACACATGATGACGAATTAATTAAAAAAAAAAAACAAAAAAACCACCAAAAAGTACCCAAGGAAACCCAGAGGCTGAAACCTAAAAAATAATTTATTTTTCTGAGTCCCAGTGCTCTGTATGATGGTTTCATCTGGTTCCTGTCACATATGCAACCTTTCATCCATCCCTATGGTAACCTGAGCAGCTCTCAATGGAAAGATGAATGGAAAAGTATTGGCAAGGGAAAAAGCAGTCTGTGAATACACAGAGCATGCCTGACATTTAAGTTGGGCCATGGTGACTTGTTTTAGCTACATTTGTGTTTAATCATTTGCAGGTGCTGCTAAGGCTCCATGTCATCCAGGCTGTCAAACCTCCTGCTTCCCATCCCAGTTCCCTGCAGAAACCCTGGAGCTGCTTCACAACTTCCAGTGTTTCAACCACACCCTTGGAGGAATGAAGGGCTTTAAAAAGACATAAATCTCTGTCAGACCTAGCCTCAGTATTTATGGAGCTTCCTCAGCTTTGTCAGAAGCAGCTGGTACATCCTCTGGGGCGATTTGTGGGGCAGACAGCACCTCATTGGCTGTCAACAGACCTCCCCATGGCTGTGTGTTGACATGACCCCGTAGGGGAGCTGCCTCACCTCCTCCTGATCTCAAGCCCTGTTTACAAAAAAACCCCCATATATATATATATATATATATATATATATATATATGTATGTATGTATGTATATATATGTGTATGTATATGTATATATATATATGTGTATGTATATATATATATATATATATATTACTCCTTAAAATACATATGAAATATATAAAAATATGGATAAAATAAAAATATTTTCTGGTTGCAAAAATGTCCAACTTGCTGATTTGTTCAGCATTGCTGGTGCCAGCCCAGGAGTCAGGGTGCAAAGAGGCTCGTGGAGCCGCTGGGAGGGCTGGAGCAGATCTCAAGTGAGCCAGAAGGGATCTACAGGTGACAAGGAGTCAGAAGCCAAGTGACCCACAGAGTCTGACTATGCCCCTCACCCTGGTAATTAGCACAAGTTACCAATTACAGCTGTGCTTTCACAAATAGTTCAGTCTGAACCCAAACACTGACCAAGCACTGAAGAAGATGCTGCAGAGAAACACGAATTGTGATGTCCACGGCCATTCCATTAATAACCCTTTGAGAAGAAGGATTAGTCCCACGCTGGAGGCCCTTAAACCTCTCTGTTGTCTGAGGTTTAATGAAGCACTCAGGTCAGTATTTCTCCACTGGGAGACACTCTGGTTAAAAAGTGCTTGAGCATCTTGTCACAAAACACATGGAAACAGAACAAAATATCACATTTCCTCCACACATCTCCTCAGTCTGCCTACTGGAGAGCTCAGCAAGCCAGTTTCTCTCACCTGCTATGTTATTTTGCAGGCTGCACAGAAGGTGAAGACAACCTGAGAGAACTTACAGAGACATTAAATAGGCTCAGCGCTCCACTCACCCACCCACGAGCACCTGTGAAACCAAGGTGGATTGGTGCTGAACCCACAGAGGTGTGAGGTGGAGGCAGATCTGGTGCCCAAGTGGAGCCCCAGGAGAGGGACCAGATGGCTGTGGAGATGCTGAGAGTGCCCTTACATGCTGACAAGCCCTCTCTCCCCTGGCCCTCCCCTGATTTTTTGGTATTAATTTATTGTTTCCAGAGCTTATAGAGCTCTAATTCATCAGAAGTTTGGTATTATTGCTAGAACACAAATACATGAGCCACACTTCCAATCCAAGCTCAAACACTACCAGAAGCTCACCTTCAGCCACTCTTACGCCCATCCTGGGCATCCAAGCAGGGCATCCCCTTGTGTCTGATAGGTTTTTCCAGTTATGATACAGTCTGGGATGGCTTCCCCTAGAGAAAGTTTCCTTGCTCTCTCTCTGGCTGGGAAGAGGATGTCCCAGGGATGTGGCTGCAGAGTCGATTTGGTTTTGGTCCTCTCTAAAGTGCAGGACAAAGCCATCAGCAGCTGCCCCTTTTCTACCAGGCTCAGCATTTTGGCCCCACTAAAATTTTGCACATAGTGGGGGGGTTCCGTTATGGCAGATATGAAGAGAAATCAACATATATGAAGCCAAATTTTAAGAGAAATTGAAGAAAACTACCAAGATTTCAATGCAAATGTACAACAGGGCTCAAGTCTCACAACTACTTCCCCAGCAAGGGTGTGAGATGCTAAAGCCGTTTCTGAAAGATGCTACTCCACTTCTATAATATCCTCTTTACCTTTATGTGACTTTTCTGCATGGGAGGATTCCATTAGAATTATTGAGGAGAACCTGTGGCTTGCCCTTGAATTTGTTATTGCACTGCTTCAGCCCTTGAGGAAGAACTCTCCTTAGAACTAGATACTTTATCCTACAGTCTCAGCCTTTCCACTGCACTCAGTGGTATTTTGGCCTGGGGAAGGGAAGGGGATTGGTTAATCTTCTCATTTCTCTGGTTGTTTCAGCTAAAATATTTTGAAGCTCAGCCAGAACTGCTCCACCTCTGACAGCCATAGTTGTAAAAAAAAGAGAAAGAATAAGGAAAACATATTTTAGTAGTTTGGAGTTTTTTCCTTTCTTTTTTTTTTTTTTTTTTTTTTTTTTGTATTAATACTTGTCCTTTCAGGCAGTTTTCTCTTGTCTGATAACCAGCCCCCAGGTACCTAAGCAGGCTTTCTTTTTCTCCACATAAATCACTTTCCCCTCCTCACAGCTGCCCTCCAAGACCTGATAACTCTCTGGGATACTGTTGTAATCCCTTGTAGCAGCAGGGTATGATTTTCCAGACAGAAGATTAAGTGCTATTAATGCCAAGGAGGAGGAAGGCAGTGCTGTCCAAGGCAGGGCTCCTTATTTCCAGTGCCAGCAGCACATCCCTGAATTTGGATGTGACAGAGCTGATGCAAAACATGCTGTTTATCCCTAGAGATGCCCTAGGGATGTCTCTAGGGATGCCCCAAGCCTCTGCCAGCACAAAATGCACAGCAGAAAGCTCGCCCATGTGAGGACAGACCCACCACAACCTGCCCGTGTTTCCCCTGCAAGTCCCAAACATGGACCGTACTCAGGCCAAAGTGCTTCTGCATGAAGTTCTGCTGCTCTCCAACAGCTGACGAGGGGAAATTACATCCCAAGAAACCCACACAGCCTGTGCGACCCCGCAGAGCAGAAGGAGACCATGGTCAGACAATACAGGTGCAGGGGAACCTGGGTGCCACAGCTGATGGGACAGGTGGCCTCAATCACCACAGCCCTACCTGGAGCAGAAAGTCAAAGAGAGCCAGGCGGCTCCACTCGCTGGGTGGGATGCTGGAGCAGGGAGCGTCCCTGGCCACCAGCATTGGTCTGTGGGGCTGCAGCATCTCCTGGTACTGCAGCCATCCCAGGGCACACGAGTTCTGGTCGTTGTTTGCATCCTCCAGGTGCTGGAGGTCAGGGGCCCACCAGATGATGGGGCGCAGGGTGCCGTCGGTGTAGCTGTAGGGCAGGAGGCGGCTGCTGAAGCGCCGGGCCACGGCGGGCAGGCTGCGGTTCAGCCCCAGCACCCTGTCCAGGTGGAAGGCCAGCACCTCGTACAGGTCCCCGGGGCGCTTGATGAGCCCACAGCGCCCATCCTGGCAGTCTCCTTCTGGGCTGGCTGGCGAGACGTCCCCCTTGGCATCCCCCTTGGCATCCCCTACGGCTCGCAGCCCCACTCGCATGATTTGCCCGTGGGCAGGCACACGGGTTTTGGAGACCACCTGCCCAGTGGACAGCAGCCACATCTTCTGGAGGTCGTCAGCAGAGAGCCACGGGGGAGTGTCCCTCCTCACCCCCCGCCGCCTGCCCCGGCCCGGGGCCTGCTCCTGCCGCAGGCGAGTGCGGGCCATGGGGAGCCTTTTCCCGTAGGCTTGTCCTCCAGACAGCGGGGCAGCCGCTTCCCTCGGGGGCCCTGGCAGGGACGAGGCCGGCAGCGGCAGCAGGGAGTGTTCCTGCGGCGGGGGCAGGTGGGTGAGAGCCAGCAGGGCCAGGGCCAGCAGCACCCCCACGGCTGCTGGGGCTGGGGCCTTCATCCCCGTCCGTCGCCATGGGCGCTGCACCTGCGGGGACAGAAGGGTGAGATGGTGCTGGAGCGCTGCTGCAGGCAGAGCCCTCGGTAGGGTTTGGTTCAGAGAAGCAGCCCCTCTGCTTGTGTGAGCCCTGCAAGAGGTATTCCCCAAGGGCTGTCTGCCTCCACAGCACTGTAGGAGGAGGGTTATGGCTGGTGCCATGATTTGTGCCAGAAATTAGCTGCAGTCCCTTCAGAAGCAAATCAGAGCAAGGCCTCGTTCCCCACACAGAGGTTGCCACATCTGCAGCGCTGAGGTACAGACTGACCTTATGGGCAGTGAATTTTTCATGGTCAAATATTTTACTTTAAAGACTCAAGAAATGAAAAAAAAAAAAAAAAAAAAGAAAAAGAAAAAATACCAAAACCAGAGTAAATTAGTAAATTCCTGTCTAGCTGTGAACACTTTCCAGTTCCTAAGAGGTTTTGTATTTCAGACCTTCCCCTGGGCACCCTCACCGGTTCTATTCTGGTTGCACACTGAACCCATAACTTGAATATCTCAATTCTCAATGCTGAGACAAGGCCTCTGGAGCTCTGCCCATTGCTGTATCCAGCAAAAGAAGGCAGCTCCAAGTCTCAGTCAGAACCTGTGACAGGCTGTTTTTTAAAAAAAGGATGCAAACTCTTGAAGGGCTGGAACACCTCTCCTGTGAAGACAGACTGGGAGAACTGGTGTTGTTCAGACTGGAGAAGAGAAGGCTCTGGGGAGAACTTACAGCACCTTCCTGTGCCTAAAGGGGCTTACAAGAGAGCCGGAGAGGGATTTTTCACAAGGATATGAAGTGACAAGACAAGGAAAAAGGACTTTAAACTGAAACAGTGGTTTAGATTAAATATTAGGAAAAAATTCTTAACTGTGAGAGTGTTGAGGCATTAGAACAAGTTGCTCAGATAAGCTGTGGAGGCCCCATCCCTGCAGTGTTCAAGGCCAGATTGGATGAAACTCAGAGCAACCTGGTCTAGTGGAAAGTGTCCTTGCCATGACAGGTAGGTTCAAATTGGATATCTTTAAGGTTCCCTCCAACCCAAACCCTTCTATGAGTCCATGATACAATCTATGCTATATGTGAAACCTAAAGTATTCTGATTCCCAGCACTCAGGAACTGCCTTTAAACAGCTGGGGCTGCCCTAAGCACAGAACATTCCCATTTAGGCTGAAGTAGAGGGCAGTGGTGGAGCAGCACTGTGACATTCTCCAAGCCAATCCAGTCCTCGGACCATGCTGCACCCATGCCTTGTTCACTCAGGTACTTGGGCAGCCTCACACACTTCAGGAGGCTGGAGCCAGAAAAAGCATATTGGTGCCATTTCTCTGCTTTCAACAGGCATTTCCAAGCAGCTCAAACCCACATTGGAAGTCAAGGCAATGGTCAAGTGGATACATTTTTTTACAATTATTTATTTTGGAAGCACAAGCATATCCATGGCAGACACAGCAGGACAATATATTGCCAAAGAAGGGATAAGAGACTGTTTATAAGAGGAAAAGTTTGAAAAAAAGAGCTAAAAAGCTGGGGAGGTGAGAGCCAGCAGCCAGAATTACTTCCAGAAAGCAGCTGGGCAGGCAAAAGCATTTCCAGCCATGGGCTTTTAGGACCACAGTCTCCCACTGACCACAGGAACCCACCACCAGCACAACTCCTGCCCCACAAGCAGCTGCCCCAGGCGACCCCAGTGCATGAGCTTATGAGCTAACACAGCACTATTCTAAAATTCTTCAGGTTTCATGTCCTCATCTTGGGGAGACTGCTTCAGACAGCCCCCTGGTGTGGAGCCACATCCCTTGCAAAGACACTATATCAGCTGAGGTGGGTAAGAGGAGCCACTGACTCACTGGTCTCAGCCATAGGGGTGCTCCTTTCATGCCTCCCTTTCAAGGGCTGAGCAGATTTAATGCAGTTTATAAGAGCTATTGATGGTGCACTCGGAGTGATTCAGCTTTATAGCTCTCACTTAATTGCTCCTCTCCCAGAAATACAATGTAGTGCAGCAAAATATATCTGCTGGGCTAAATCCTTTTTTCAGACAGGGTTTACACCAGCCTCTGCCAGGAACCAGGGGCTGTCTGCTACAGGGCTTTGGGAACTGCCAGGGGACCTCTGCTTTATCTCTTCCCAGAGTGGAAAGGACCTAGTCCAGGGTGAGCCTGTCCAGAGAGGGATGTCCTGTCCTAGATCATAGCAGGGTTATTCAAGGCTTGGCATTAGCTACATCAGGCACCAAACTACATGGCCAAATCATTGTCTTGGGTGCCTTTCTGGGGAGGGGATGAGCACAAGCACCCCTAAGCACCCTGAGAGGCAGCAGGACTTCTGTCAAGTGGCTGGTTCTGATGCCTCCCCAGCTCTCTCCCATTTGGATGGGATATTTATTTGCTGTGGAACCACAGGCAACAGCAAGTGACACAAGCAACATCCAAGCTCGGCTATTCAAGACCTTCATGCCCTGAATTTCAAGCAAATTCCACTGAGTGCAGACACACATTCTTTCTCAAACACCTGCAAAACATGTCTGGCCTCCTGAGCAAGAGTTTAGAGAAGGTGCAATGTCTAAATCCTAGTTTAATTGTAGTAAAATAACTCTGTGGCATACAAAGGGCTGATCCTGGTATCCTGATATCCACACTCCTTTCAAATCATCACTGCAAGTGCCTCACAATCTGTTCCTCTGGCCTCAAAGTATGCTGAATTAACAGCAGCGATACCTATGGAATAAATCCCAAAGGATAGGGGTAACTGTAAATCTCAGTATTCCCATCTGCATCCAGCCAAGTCCCTTCCCAATCTGTGCTTTCTCGGGCATGTTTTCCCAGAACCTCCCCTATCCCACCCTTCTGGAGAGACACAGCCCATCCCTCTCTCACCAAAAAACCCCTCAACCCTTTTCTTCAGCATGGAGGATTTTCAGGGTGATTGTTTTTGTTATCCAGCTGATAATAACCCTCTGGTTGCTTATACCATCTCTGGGTATCTGAAAAGCCTGTCTGCCAAAAGTATCCTGGGAGAAGAATGCATGTGGGAGCCACATGCACAACCTTCAAAACACTGCAGGAAAAATCCTTTTTAACCCACAGCAAGAGAACAGAGTATGCCAAATGGATGACAACGATTGTTGGGTTTTTAATGTCAAGTCAGTTTACAATCCAAGTGGTTAAGGAATCATTATTGTCCAAAACCACTTTATCTTCCTTGTCAGTGAGCTCAGGTTTGGGCACCACAAGTTAGAGCTACATTGCTTTCCCACCCTGAATTTGAAACCCTGGGCTGTGAACTTGGGCAAGGGCCAGTTCAGGCTCCCCTCCCCAGCACCGTTCAGGGTTTCCCTGCCACATCAACAACAAAAAGAAACAAAAAAGGTGCAAGTACAATCTCTGTGTTATTTCTGGCGGCTGATATTGCAAATTTAATAATAACCTAGGTGATAAAACATTGCATAAATAATACTGTATTTACAAGCCCTGGGTAAATACTTTTCCAAAGAGACTTTCTCTGAGCCAATGCTGTAAAAAAATGCTGCAGTTTAAGCTATGGCTTCGATTCAGCCCAAAATGCAAACCATACGTACAGCTCTGCTTTGCCAGGCTGACATACTGACAGTACAGCATGTCTTTGCCAGAAATTAGGTCCTTTTCCCAGCAAGCAAAACCCATAAAAAGGCTTAAGAGAGGTACTACTTGTTCCAGGATGCCAATAAGTAAATAATATATATTCTCGCTCATCAGAGAGACATACAGCACAGCCCAGACTCTGAAGGCACAGTAAAGAGCTGTGCAACTTTGATGCTAGGAGATAAAACTTTCTAAGTCTAGCTGGGGATGAGGTGGGGGAGGGTTATCCTTGACACTGTATTCCCAGGACACTTGAACCTTGGCAGAATTTGAGGCAGAGAAGCCTGTTTTCAATTTCTTTTCAAAGTGCATCAAATTGGTTTTGTCGAGCTTGAAAGAAAAGAAAAACAAACCCCAAACTTCATTATCCAAGAATGTAAGAAACAGCCCTGAGACTAGAAAGATGCCACGGAAATACGTGGCTGTTGAAAACTGGATTGATTCCTGCTTTCCTCTGGCATTGAAAAGAGTCCTCTTGCCCCTGCACCGGCACTACAAGACTCCTTCAGCAGTAAATCCCACTATCCCAAAGAGGTGCCCAAAGGAGCCAGGATGGCTCAGCCATGGCCATGTCACTCTTGGCCACCTGCCTGCCCTAGACTGCCCAGCTCAGAGGACTTTGCCAAAGGCAACGTGCCAGTGAGCAGGTTAAAGGCAGACCCGTGCATTTATGTGGGTGCACACTGAGCAGGGTGCAACACACAGGGCTGTGCTCACCGTCCCAGCTCCCTGCTCGCTGCCCGCCCAATGAACCGCAAAACCGCCCGGGCAGCAGGAGGTGCAGCCTGCCGTGACCAGTTTCAACAAAGACTGCTTGAAAAACAATTGGAAAACCTCCTCTGCCTGCCCCCCACCTCTGGGAATGTCTCCAGAGCCTTGCACCCACACATGTTGCTCACAGCAGCTCCTGGTGCAATGGGAGAGCGGGTGCCTCAATCAGATCTGGGATTGGATCAGCCTCTTCTTTTTCATATTGTGCAGGAGCTTTTCTTGTTTTGTTAAGGGCATGACATGTGGGCTGGAGACCCATAACCGTGCTGAGGACGTGGAAGGAGACAAAACTGCTCCATCCCTGGAGTGACTGGGCAAGTCTGAGCGGAAGGAAATGCTTGGCAGCGTCTGTCACCCATCATTCAAGAGCTGAAGTGCCTTCCTGTATTATCCTGCTCAGGGAAGATAATGGCTCGCAGTGGGAATTTACTAAAGACAGCTATTAAATGATGATTGCCAGTCCCAAAGGTAGCTCTGACTCAGAGTGGCTCCCCAGGAGGGCAGGTCTGCTGTGTTCCCCCAGCACATGGGGACAGCTCCACCAAAACTCACCTGCACCCACATTGCCACGGGGCATGAAGAATAAGACAACCCTTCATCTGGCCTCATGATCTATCAAAGTGGCTGCAATTCCTAGCAGACCTACACCAGCTTTCTGTCTGGGTTTTTTTCCTCAAGAGATGAAGGCTTTATTCCTCAAAAATGCCCTTCCAGAGGGGAAAACCGTGACCCTACTATATTTCAGCGCTCTGCAGACACCCTGGAGATCATCCCACTTGGTTCCAGGACAGGGATGTGGCAGGTAGCCCATGCCTGTCTGCTCAAGGTGATCCTCCAGCCCCACTTCCACACAAGTGGCTTGGAAAGCTCAAGCCAGGCACTGAGAAGGTGGGAAAGGGGACTGCTCCCATAAAGCCTATGAAATGGAGTCACGGCAAACATTGGGTCAGCTGAAGCTAGGAAGATGGAAATGTGACACATCACCACATGGTGCTGGGTCCTTCCCTGCAGAGTCAGCAAAGTCCTCAGAGCTGGCACACAAACTTCCCTACCAACATGTCCAAAATCAAACCAGAAAATGACTGAGTTAAATTGCCTGGGATGAAACCTTAAAACATGCTGTACTTTGCTAAATGTTGGACAGTCTGCAAAGCTTCTGGGATCATTTATAGCCTATGTGCGAGACAAGCAGGATTTGCACTAGCAGAGGGCAGCACTCTGGCAGCAGCATAAATGGATGAAAGAGTGTTGGCACTGTTCAGTCTGAGCATTGACTTCAAAGGGATGGTGCCAACATACCGCCTTTAACTTCTCAAATAATGTTGCCTTCACAGTTCTTCCCAGTTATCACTATGGCCTTGGGGCAGCAAATTATAAAAACCTGGAAACCTTCAAGCTCTACAGCCTCTCTCTAGTAATAACCTGGCGTGTCCTTGGCTCCAGGCCCTGCATCAGCCCCTCGAGCTTTTTGCTTCCTAGGGATGAAATGTCCTGTTTCTTGACCTAAACCTCCCACCCAGACTGACTATTTCTGGTTTTTGAGAGGCTCCTTGCCGTGGAGGTTCTTCTCTGCACAACCATAGGCTGAGCACAGCCCTTTCTCACACATCCATCATCCAAAGGACCATTTTGATGAACAAAATCTTGAGCCATAGCTTTAAACTGCTCTGTTTAACAGTGCTATTCCCATTGCACTGTCTGCTCCCCATTATGTGTCAAAGAAGTACAGCAGAAACACAGGGCTTGTAAACTGTCCCTCTCCAGGAATATCTTACAAGAGTGGCAAGACTCCCAGCATCCCAAATCTCCTGTTCAGTATCTCTGAAGAAGGAAGACCTGGAGCAGGAGTCAGAGGACACACCTTGAAGGAAACAGATGGCCAGCACCTGGCTGGGGGACACCACACCTTGGGGTGCAGCTGAAGCAGTCAAGGTCAGGGATGCTGCCTGGGGGGACCCAGAGAGGACACAGACCTTGTCCTGCACCTGCAGACTAAAGTGTGGACTAAAACCCTGCAGGGTACCAGCAGGGACTTTCTTGTCCTGTGATGATACCGTCCTTACCCCCAAATCATGTGATTTTCACTGAGCAAAAGGAAAGATTCGTAATTCTCCTCACTCCCACTGTGTAAATCTCAGCTTGCAGACAGTTAATACTCAGCTCTGTGTGAGATGGACAGGGAGTTTTTCATCCTGGTGCTATGTACAGTGCAGCTCAGGACCACTCTGGTTTAATTCCAGAAGTCAACACAAAGCACCACAAAAATAAACAGACTCCAGGATGCCACACTTCTGCTTAAAGTAAGCAAAGTAAAAGCTTTCAGATGCCTTCTTTCTTCTATTTAAGTTAAGTAAGACTCAGGGCTCTTACTGCAGACTCTTGCACTTAGCTGGATCTTCTACTTCTTGGAGACACATCTTCCAAGAGATTGATGGCAGTCTTTCAGGACGTGTCCCTGAGATGCACAGGTCTGCTGTCACTTGCATGTGCAAACATCTCCCTTACTTTTCACCACTAAAAGTGGTATCAACCTGCACCCAAATCATCCAGATCACTGAGGACCTGAAACAGCATCTCGTGTTCACAGGAGACAGTGAGGACCTGAGCAGGCCTGAATGCACAACTGTTCTGCTATCCTCACAAGGATAGCAAGGGAGGTCCTCCTCATCTTCCCTCTCTCCCTCTGCTCATTCCCCTAACCCTCACACTTACATGAGAGCAGCACAACCTAGAAATTCCTAGCAGGGACATCAGGAAGGGAAAGCAGCAGTTTTGGGAGGCTGTTGCTCCCACACTCCACCACTGCCGTGCAGGCTCCTGCCAGGTTTCCCTTTTCCCCCTCCCCTCGTCCCAGTTTCCTGGCCAGCCTGTTGCACTCAGCTCCGTAAGTTTTCAGAGCAGCTTTCCCATCTGCCTGCTGAACCAGCAAGTAGGGGGCCCCTTCCCCAGTGAAACAGATGTGGCTTGCCTTTGTGCAACATCTGCGCCTCATGCCCCGCTCATTTTGAACAGTCTTGCCTTTGTTTCTGAGGGTTTGTATGGGGAATGCTTTGGAGGAGGGCAGCAGCCTGTGGTCCATGGGCTGGACTCCTTCCCTTCCAAGTCCCACACACAAACTGCCTCCAACCCTGAGCTTCTTCTGGGGAAGAAGAATATGATTTGTTCCTGTGGCATTCTGGAACCCACAGTCCTGCTCCTCAGCAGGTTCCAGCCACAGACCATAGCGTACGAGCTGACTCCTTTGGGATTTCCAAACCCAGGGACATAAGAACTGGAATCTGGGAGCCACAGACCCACTTCCTCACAAGTCCCCTCACCCCTGTAACTTCTCTTGCTGCACCTCTGGGCTGTTCACCAGCTCTGGTTTGGTATCCCCAGAGGGGCTGTGCTGCTGCAGCTCCTCTGCACGTGACAGACGCAAAGAGCAGAGGTGCCAGAAAGTCACGTCCCTCTTGCAATGTGTTCTGGGCTGTATTTAATATGGGGAGGAATACATTACAATAAAATCACATTTTATTTCCTCCTGCTCTTGATGAGTTTGCCAATCCTGCTTGTGAGTGCCTGGAATGCTGCTAAATCTCTCACACATTTTGGCATTTGGTTCAGTTTTATTTATTTTATCATGTTTTTTCTGTATTTTGGAGAGGAGGTATTTTGATCCATTTATTTTCAATTTTCATTTCTAACTGGTGGACCAGCACCAGGGAACAGGAATGCTTGCTTGGTGCCTAGTGGGGGCTCACAAAACCCTCTTTGGGGTGTTGGCAAGGAGTAGCACTGGATTCCCTTGTTGGAGTTTCAGTGGAGGTTGCCCAAATCAGACAGTTGGGTTTCCCTGAGCTGACTGTCAGGTTTTTCCCTTCCTGGAGAGCAGAAAAGTGCATTCGTGGGATTCCAAAGGGGAGGGAGAAGGAGGACAGCGGGGCCTTTCAGCCCTGTGGGCTTTCTTCAAAACAGAATTGTTCATACCAGCCCTGGCCTCAGCTGCAGAAAGGCAACCCTATTTTCTTCCTGTTAAGCCATTACATCTGAAAGAGAAAAAAAGGGGCAGAAAACTGCTTGCCACTTGGCTCTGAGTGCTGCCTGTGTCCCACAGACCCCATCCTGGGCAAAGCCTCCTAGCAGCCACCCCCCAGCCTGCATCTTCTCCCAGCAAAATCCATGGGGTGAGCAAGCAGAGCAAACATGGTACAAGGATGCAGCCAGGCTCACAGAAAAGGGGCTTTTCCTTCAGGGCAAGGCAAGTAGCTGCAGGTGGACTGGAGTTACTGAGTTACTGAGCATTGGAAGTGGAAGGGGTAATTGAGGCATTTGGAATCTACGCCAGAGCATTAATACAGCACAATCAGCCCCTCGTATTTAGAGTGCCTCATACTAGGCAAACAACAGCAACTGGAAACTACTCGCTGGCAGATTGTGAAGCCAGAAGAAAGAAGATGTTTCTGTAATGCAGTCATCCCCCAGCACTCTGCTGCGGCAGGTCGGGCATGTGCAGCAGCCAGATCCAACAAGAAGCCGACTGCAAGCGTGCTCTCCATACCAACAGTGGAGCTCACAGCTGGCATCCCTCTGGCTTTCTGCAAGGGGTCACCCTCCTGGTCACCTTGAAAGGAGTCAAAAATCATCTTGAGCACTTTGTTTAGGGTTCTGCTGCAAATGAAGCAACAAGGTGATCAGCTAGGGACAGATTCTGGATTTATTCCTCATGACCACCACTGCCCTGCCTGCAGGTGTCCAGAGCAAACCCAGATTATGGGCAAAATCAAAGCAGTCAATGCAGGAGTTCACAAAGGGGAAAGGACTGCAGAAGCAGACCTCCCCTTGCCAAAGCAAAATGGAAATCCCGGCAAAAAGTGAATACCCCGCTCACACATGGGAGACCACACCAGGTACCTGGCTCAGGCTGTACAGGCTTTGAAAGGCTTCATAGTGAATGCTTGTACAGAAAAATGTTACTGCAGACAAAAGGTTGGTATGGGGAGAGTTGCCTTGCTTTTCCCTTTGACAGGGAGGAGTTATCTTCGACCCCAAAATAGTTGACATGAACCCCATCATTTTTTCCTGTTGCTGAAGTTCATTAATTAAGAAACCCAAAGCAGCCTATGCAAACCGTAGGATGGAAAATGTAAAGCATGACACTAGGGCCCCCCATACACAAACACACACACTGCAGTGAAGGCTGGCACAGCAGCATTGTCCCCAGAGATGCTCTGAGTCATCAGCACACTCTCGAGGACATAAAAATGCTTCAGTGACACAAATGACCAGTTTCTGGCAGCAGCACCAGGCATCTCCTCAGCTCATCCATCACAGGTTTGCAATCCCTGCCCAACACAAGCTTGGCAAGGGCTGAGGTGGTGAAGCAGGGACAGAGCCCCCCAGCCCCAGTGCAAACTCCCTGGCATGACATCCCCCTGTCCCCCAGTGGGGCAGGGGTAATGGGGCATGGGGGGACCATCCCAGCTCAGCTGCTGTGTGCTTGCTCAGATGGGTCTGCCAAGGGATATTTCAAACTGGAGCACTAGATGACTTGAAACACTACCCTAAGGTTTGGAACACGCAACAGATGTGGATAAACCTTCTGATGCTGGGGATGCACAACATTTCTTGGGAGGGACGTGAAGTTTTCCCTTGCCAAACTGGCCGATTTTGTGGCTTTTCGATGAAACTGCTGTGCTTTGTCAGCACCAAACACAAAGCACAAAGCGGCTCTTCGTGATCTCTATCTGCACTTCTCTGCCTACACCCCGAGCTGTTCGCCTGCCTCAAGCAGTGCCACCTGGCCACTTCAAAGAGGTGGGTTTTGGCGGACGGAGTGTAATCACCTCCCTGGCTGACAGCCGTGCTTTAGCTACGGCAGCCCCAGGCACTGCCTTTAGGGGCATCCTGACAATCTGTTCTGTCCATCCCTAGTGCATTCTTACAATCTGCTCGGTCCACCCCAATGCTTTTAAGGACAGCAAAGTGCTGTAGCGGTTCCCTGCCTCGCTCGCCTCACCATGCTCTGACCCTCCGAGTGTCCCGCACATCCCAGCTGCCCCCAGGATGGAGACCTCCAGGATACCTCATCCCATGGGGCAAACCCCGCGTTGCTTCCCACTATCAGCTCAGCAAGGAAACCTCTAAATCCTACCATGTCTCGCAGCAGCAGCAGCCGATGCACTCCTCCTCATGTGCTTCACCTCCTGTGCGCGACACACCACACGGTCACCTCCTGACTCGGGTGCCGGCCGCCTGTGGCACTTCCATACGACACCACGAACCCACACAGAACACACACAAAAAAATAAAATAGCAATTTAAAAAAAAATGCCCAGGAACTAATCAGCCCTCTTCCTCTGCCCAGGCCATTAATCACAGCCGGGGGCTGTCACCCAGGGGTGCCCCTCCGGGCTGTCCACAGTCCCTGCTGCCCAGCTCTGCGCTGCAGAGGTTCCTGGGCTCCTGTCACCACACGCCAGCGGGTGCCTCCGCTTCCCCCTGGGCGGGAGGACACCCTTCAAACTTCAGCTGGGAGTTTTCAAACTTTGCCTCATCCTAGACCCACCTCCCTGTGAGGAGGGGAGTGGAGAGGCTGGGAAGGGGGGAACAGGCATTTGAAAAGTCTCTTTTTCACAATAAAAGCCCTTCTTGCTTTTTTTCTGTTTTGGGTTTTTGTTTTTTTTCTCAACACCGGGGGCCAATTTGAGCCAGAAGGACATGAAGACACACGTGCTCCTCCCAAGCCCATTTGTTTGCAGTGAACTCGGTGCCAGCCAAGTAGAGGAGCCACTAGAGCCCCAGGGGCCACAGGGACCCCAGAGCCAGGAAAGCAAACCACAGATCTGCTCATGAGTGTTCAAGAAAATGCTCTTTGCAGGTCTTTTTTGGCATTTCTTTGCCTTTCAGTAATGGTCCAGCAAAAAGCTGTTCCACATCAGTGCCTGGAGTGGACACAGACCTGAGAGAAGATTTCTTATCCGCCTAAAAGGCATGAATGCATTTAAACCATTTTTAGGGTGCTCGGGTGCCTGTTTTTCTGGGGCACACAATGCAGGCAGCGAGGAGAGGGGCACAGGGGAAGGGGACCCTCACCACACCCAGCAGTGCAGACTGCAGCATGCTGAGCCCTGCAGTGCCCAGTGCATTCCCCCGCCCAGCACCTGGTGTAGGGTGCATCCTAGGTGTCATTTCCCCAGGCCCCAGGGAGAAGAGGGTCTGGAGGCATTGCTTTGGAAAGCAGTGTGTTTCAAGAGCCCTCCATGGCCAAGCAGGATACACAGGCAGCTGCCAGGCTGCAAAGCGTTTTTGTTTCATACAACTTTTCCCTTCCAGCTCTGGGTTGTGGCCAAGCAAAACCCATTAGTCCTTCATCCTGGCATTGTCTACTGCTGCAGCCCCTCACCAGCTTCAGCCCCAACCAGCCCAGCTTGGGGACAGGAAGAAACCCTCTGTCTCAGGTGTGGGGGCTTTCCAGTTCCCTGACCTGTGCAACTACCTCCTCCAGGAAACCGTAAAACAAACCAGATTGATCAGCATTGTTATTTACTGATATTTGTATTTTTAAACAATCTGATAAAGGCACAGTACAGGCTGTTTTGAAGTACAATGAAGATATCATGGTCTAAAAAGAGAAGAGGATGAGGTTGAGGGAAACTGGGCCAAGTCACTTGACCAAGGCAGCACGGGAGGGTAGGGGCAGACCCAGGAGGAGGCTCCTGTGTCCCCAAGCCCCATTCTAGCTCACTGACCATGCACAGTCCACAGTGGCATTCATTTTACAAGTTGATGCAACCCATTGGGTGTAAACAATGATGGCAACTCAGTGCTATTGCCCAGTGTGCTCTTGCACTGGTTCCAGTGCCCCAGGGCCTTCAGGCCCTCTTGGTTCACCATGTGCATCTTATTTTAATATGGTACATCTCCCTACCCCTTCCACTGCTACTCTAAACTACAGCTAAGAAAAGAAGTGGTTTGATGGTTACACACCAAAGCAGTGTGCCTACTTTCGGCTTCAGCACATCCCCCTCCATGCCATCCATGGGCATGAGGAAGGGGTGCAGAAACCAAGCCCTGCATCCCCTCCTTGTTGCCACCTTGACTCCCGCTTGTCCTGGACACTGCAGCATCAAATATCCTCAAACACTTCCCTTGAGGCCAGTTCCCTGGGGGCAGATAACAACCTAATACTTCTAATACAATTAGCAATATGAAGCAATTAGCAATAACCTACTACTGGCCTTGGCACAAAGATGGCCTATCCGAAGACAGAGTGAGCGCCAGGGAAGGGATCTGCAGGGCTCCGGAGGCTGAAGCCTGTGCATCACAACTCATCGGTGGCACCTCATTTTGGAAGCATTTGCTTTCATCTCCCTTTCTTAATTTTGAAATGATTCAATTTATATGCAATTTTCTGCCAAAATGATTCCTGTCAGTGCGGCAGCACTGCGAACCTTGACTGACAGGTTGAGCGCTCTGGCTGGTCTCTCTGGATTGCCTCTCCCTACAAATAACCCTTTAAAATGCATGCCTGACATTTGAGGAATTTGACATCAGAAACAGGCTTGGATGGCTGCTGTAGCAGACAGACTTAAGTGATCAGTGGGCAGATCAGTAAGGGAAATCTAGTGAGCCTTGAAACAAATGCTCCAGTCTTGGCATTATGAAATTTTTTAAAAAATATTTCCCCCCACCCTGCTCCTTCCCCTGATTTTTAATTACATTCACCATGCAAAAAACAAATTTAAAAATCAGACCTAAGAACCAAGTGCATTGTAAACCAGTTTTCTGAGGAGGACTCCCCAAATCCATAGGACTGTGACTACCTTGTACCCCCTTGAGCTGGGTAGTCCTAATCCCACCATTGCAGCCCCCAGGTCCCATAAGTAGCATCCCTGCTACTGCATTCTGGAAAATTAATGAACTTGTGAACAGTGGAAACTGCTTTTCTTCTCTCCTTTTTCTTTTCTATCCCCTGACCCTGTGAGGAGAATGCTCATCTGCAGGATGAGGGACAGTCCCCACTCCAAGAAACTCCCAAGAGATGTAGGCAGCAAAAGGAAATGGAGAAGAGCAGGGAGGTGGGACTGCACCCAGCTTGCAGGCAAAATATGAGTCTCCGAAACAGGCACATATTGAAACAGGCACAACAGGCCAGGTGCTCAGGCCAGCTGACCTACTATTTCCAATAGTAAAGATCTCCTGGGCCTGATCCCTCTCACCTTGTAGAGGAGCAAAAGCTGTTCTGTCCTTGTTGCAAGGCACAGGACAGCAGTGTGGGGGGCTCAGTTTGCTGGTATCTCCTGGCAGATCCAGCTTAGCCAGGAGCAAGTACCTTGAAACAGGAGACCTGAGACCTTTTCCTGGGGTTCTCTAAGCAGGCCAAAATCTAAGGAAACTAATGAAGAGGAAAGAAGGCCATGGGTGCTATTGCATCCACAGCAGCACCTCTGTGCTCCCTCAAATGACTCCATTGTAGGCACTAGCAAAATCTTCTGGTATAACCTGTCTCCATTTCATAGAGTCTGACTTGCCTTTCCACTTGCTTGTCCTCATAAAGAAATGACTGCTGCAGAAGGATGAAAATAGGCTGATTTTTTTTTTTCTTCTTTCCCAGAAATACTTTTTTTTTTTCTTTCTCTTTCTGTCCCAGTGGACCTGCATTCATTTCTCCCTTGGGAACTAAAGACAGGCAGTGGAAAGGGACAGATTTCAAGAGCTGTCAAGGAACAGAAAGCTATTCTGCCTCTCAGAAAGTAAAGCTGAAGGCTTTTTTCTTCCTTTTAGAAAAGTGTGAGGCTCTAATGGGTTTGAGGGGCTATGAATATGACTTTTCACATCTGCCAAGATAATTATAAGCTTGAATGAATTTCTGAGACCCAAACCCTGCCCAGATAAATCATACCTATCAAGCACTGATTAAAAACAAGCTCTTCAGAAAACCTTCGAATTTCTCTTCCCTTCCCACCCCACTATGTCCTCTATCTGTTGGTAATCAGTCTCAGTGCTTTTTTAAGGAACTGTAGAGGAAACCCTGCTACTTCACCCTTTCTTTGCAGGAGGTGTGAAAGAGATGGGAAATTAAGGCTACAGGGATCAAGCAGAATGAAGAGAGATTTGGACTCAGACTGCGTCTGGCACTGGGACACAAAAGATGCTGAGAAGCAGGCAAGGTGCAAAGCTGAGTTTCAAAAAAATCTGGTTTCAGAGCGTGACATGAACCCATGCCCCACTTCCCAAATCAGTATCCCTACAAGGGACAAACAAGAGTCCCTAACTCAGAGAAAAACCTGGATGTGGGTGATTTCTTTCAGTTCACTGTGTGTGGGAACGACTCCTGCATCTCCTGATTGTTCACAGGGAAATAAGCCCACCCAAGTCATTTATGGAATGCACTGAATTTTTGTAAATATGCTGAAGAAGCTGCACACCCCCAATGCAGTAATTAGAGTAAATTAATGCTGCTGGGATGCCTTTGTCACCGTTTGTCTGACGAAAGACAAAAGGCAGGGAGGTCACATCCTGAAGGGAGAGTAATCCTTTATAAGCAGTGTTTAAGATGCCAGAGAAAACAATAACATCTGCAGAAGAACCACACGTTCCCTGAGTGCACAGGCTTTATACTTCCCACAAATACCTATTGTATCCTCCTTGTTTTCATGACTCAAACACAAGCATATGGAGGAAGGGACAAAGTTATTAAGTCCTTCAGAGGTGATTACTCATTCCTCCAATTTAACATTTTAGATAAACGCTGCAAACTCTGAATCGCTTGTCAGAACACAGTATTGTTTTTACAGAACATGAGCTGAGTCAAATGAGTTAGGGTTCTCTTTTCATTTTTGAATTTCTGAGGGCTATTTTTAAAGCTCTCCCATGTTCAGCCAGAAAAAAAAAAAGTCTTACCACCCATGTTTCTTGTCCAAGACATTTGCTGTATTATTAGAGAAGGAACTGTTTCCTAGCCTGCTCCTCCCAAGAAAAGCTGACCGCTCTGCATCAGCAAGGGTCTCAGGCTCCATCCTCCACCAGCTTTTGGAAACAATTGAACTTCAGCCTTGTGTGAAAACAGTCACTGACAGCCCAGCCATGTTGTGGCATCCCAAGTCCATGGGAGAGGGTGAACCTTCCAGGTGGCACAACATGGGTGCCTCAACATGGTTCCATCCCACTGGGTTCCATTGCTCCCAGCAGCTGGTATAACAACTTGAACTTCAACACTGACTTTCTACCTGTATTTCACCCCAGACATCTCTGTCCTCTCCAGTCAGTCCTTCCCAAGGCAGGGATCCCCTCCTTTTTAAGTCTTATCTTTCCTTCCTCTCTCTTTCTCCTTTCCAGATCAAACCCCAGCACTCCAGTGAATCTGAAACACCTTTTTTTTTGGACTGTCACCACATAAATCAAGAGATTCAGATCTCTATTATTTAGTATCCCACTAATCCTACCCCATCTGCAATCTTCACTAGAAATTAAATGTGTATGTGTGTGTGTGTGTGTATCTTTAACTTGATCACTGAGCATACAGCATGTTGGATGAAGAACAATTCCACCCCACCACATATAAAAGCTTTAGCATTGATGTCTCATTTTGAGATCTGTTGTTGAGAGGGTTTCTCATTGAATATGTGAAGCAGTCT